TCAACTTTCAAAGGACCTATTTTATTGTATTGTATTGCATGATGTGCAAGCTAAGTGAACTGATGCCGATTCATTTGAAGCGTTTGTTCAATACAAATTTATTACAGTTCAAATTTTAGACTTTTGAGCATAACATACTAATAGTAGTAAAACATAAAAATATTAGCGCTGAAAAAGAGATTCAATTATTCTCACTTACATATGTTTGAAACACAAACGCATGATCATATTGAAAGTGTTTTCTGTATAAACATTTGTCAAGTATAACTAGACGTTCAATAATTGGTTATGAACATACGATAATAACTTCTCATCTTCTACAAAATGACAGTCTATGAATCCTATGAAGTATAAAAAACGAAAGACTACATTTCTGACATCAGTTTGTTAGTAGGCTAAATAGCACGTTTCAAATATTAATGAGAAATATTATAGCACATGAAAAAGATGAGTGCATCATGTGCTCAGAGCTTTACTGTTCAACTTTTCCATAGCGTATCAGTTATTAAGTTTACGTTTCAATTGAATTTTTTGTTAGAAAACTAAGTAAAAAGCAATCAGCTTATCTGTTTTGCATAACATTCAAATACAACCTGTCAGGTCAAGCAAGTTCAATTTAAGACCAGACAAAAAAATGTTTTGTTTCAGGGTTTTAGACCGAATGAAAGTGTCGCGAGGAAAGCTAAGAGCAGTACATAAAGAAATAGTATTATTGGTCATAAAATAATGCAGGCAAAAACGTATGATCTGAGGTGAAAAGTTCGATTGGTTCTTGAATGACTAGAACAAATACAATATTGACTGCACCCGATTTCATGTGTGCGTTCAATATTCAGACAAGTAATAGTCAACTGATTTTTTTTGTTTTGGTCAACTCTAGATTTTCTAATATTCAATGTCCTTTTCACAAGCTATTATAAACCGATTCCATTCTTTGCGCTAGATTCTTGTTCTTTCGTTACGGTTCTAGGTGTTTGGTATTGTCCAATTAATGGGGGTCAGTTTGCAATCGGTTGTGAGTTTCTGTCGTGATCGTCTACCGACTTTAATCTGCCTCGATCTAGGTGTTTCGGCAGATACACTCATTCATTCAATCACAAACACAGGACTTGTGGACAAGTTACTGGATACACGCAAAGTTAATACTTGGACGGCCAAGGGTAAAGTTACAATTCTGGAATACTTTCAGATTCTATCCAGCTTACTTATATTATATACTGATAAATTCTTGTTTCCTAAATTTCTATTTCGTGTATTTCGTGTCCTAATTATGTCGGCTTCCAACTTCAAATCTCTCTGGTGCCATGTTTAGTAATCGGGTCCTCAGCACAACTTACAATAAAACAACCAAGAAAACTGGAATAGGTATGAACTTCGGGGTTAGTAGTGAGTCGAGAATTCGATTCTCGTGCGACCGAATTGTGATGAACTCAATCCGTCACTTGAAAGCATACATCTCTGTGTCAAGACTTTGGATCACTCAACTCAGATACCACAACATCTCAAACTGTGGAATGAAGACATCATTCCTCCGAATCCTATTCCTAAAATGACCGTTATAAAGGCTAATGATAGGAGAAAAAGACGTCTCAAGGCTCAGTCCACACAGTCTGTCGTCCGAAAACCGCATAAGGATGACTGTTTCGCCTGCTCATTGTCAGTCGAAATCAGGGACTCTGCATTTGAATGCAATTTCTGCAGTATATGGGTCCACTGTCACTGCGACACTACAGTACCTAAAGACTACTATGGATTCGTGCTGTCTCCTCTGCCGTGGTTATTGTAAATCTGCCAACTGTGTAGAGTATCTTAGGGATTGGCGAAGCCATAGGTGCCACCCAAAATGAGCTCTAAAGTGCTTACGACCCAACCAAATGCACCTGGCACTGAACTAGTAAAACAAGTGACCAAGGCAACCAAAAGACTAACTAACACCCCGAAAATCTACCGGTTGTTGATGATCCTCCGGTATCTGTTAGCAATACAGAACAGTGGGTGAACGTAAAGAAGAGGAATAACAACATCCGAACTCACAAGCGGCTACCACTCAAGGACAGGGATGACAGAATAAATTCACTTATTTTACTTAATATTCCAGTATCGGAAGGAAGCATGCTAGAAGCTAGGGCTGCATTTGACAAAGAGCAGTGGGACAAATACTGCCCAACCCTTGGAATGTGCAACATCCCAGCCAAAAAATGCCGCTTTTTCATAGGCCAGACTGTCTCGAAAGGAAAACCCCTCCAGTGAGGGTAAATCTTGACTTGACACGACTTCCTGAAGACATCATCCCTTCATCCTCGTCAGGTATGACAAGCCGTGGTCGGCATACCTGAACTCACTGACGGCAGCCTGGAGGTAGCTCACTTGCACGATATACGACAGTGGCTATGGCTTTCGCGTATCCTATCACTTCACACCATGATGGTTGACCATCGCGTCACACCTAACGTCCATCAAGTCACTATGTCTGATGGTTGTGACGTTCAGGAACCCGGAAGACCGGACTGAAGCACTCCCAGGTTGACTTTCTGCACAGGCAAAATACCTGCAGAGGCCAGTTCCCACAGAACTGGCCAACTCGGTTTGAATAACTTGTTTAAAAACCCAACAGCGGCTGTTTCTGCAGAGGTGCACCAGGTGCTGAGAAAAACTACCAAAAACCTCTGTAGCGACGTAAGTGGACTAAGGAGTAAGCTGTTATAAATCAGCAATATGTGCTCTCAGATGAATCTGAAGATCACAATCCTATCTGAAACATGGATATCCTCTGACATTGCAGACGACGAAGTGAGCTGGCAAGGCATGACACTCTTCCGAAGCACTTATGTGCACCAAACAGGAGACAGAGTGGAAATATATATACACAGCCACTTAAAAACCAAGTGGCTGTACGACACCTAACTAACTAAGTTGACAGAATAATGTTGGTGTTGTTTCCACACAAGTCGCACGAAATACTTGTTAGAGGGGATTTACTGACATCTCTCGCGTACTAAGGCCCAGAGAAGCAAAATGATTGAATCAATACTGCAACTGCCGCTCGTGGGGTTTAATCAAATACTCTTTGCTGCAGATTTCAATATCCCATCTCTAAATCTCAGCAGAGTATAACTCCCACTGGTTGGTTCCAAAGACGACTTGGAGCAGCCATTAGAAGCTCATGGCTGACTGAGCACGTATGCAGTGCCACTAGATGGACTAAGGAAGGAAAGTCCCCAAATCTGGATTATATGTTAACACATGATCAGCTCCTGGTTGAGGATATTCACGTCCATACTGCAAAAGGAAGTAGTGACCATTACACAGTCTTGTTTAACATGGTCATAAACGAAACACACAGGACGAAAACGAGCCCTATGTTTCCTACACTAGGTCAAATTATACGCGTATTAGAGAGACCCTCCTACATGCCCCATGGTCACGGAAGTGGTGGAGGCTGACAGTAGATGATCACTGGCAAACAGTAAGATATATCATCCAAAAGGCTGTCGTAGACAAAGTACCGCAGTCAAATCACACACCTGTGAATTTAAGAAAATGGGTTAGGCGTGGCACTGAACGCTTGCTACAGGCGAAGAGAAGAGTTACGCAGAATTTGAAGGTTTCTTTGTAGGATTCTGATCATGGTTCTTGCTTGGCAATGAGAAGCAGATGCAGTACCGAAATTCGAAGTGATAGGAAACAATATCAGATAGGGCTAGCTGCCAATATACATGCGAACCCGAAGCATCTGTTTAGGTTCATGAATAAAAAGAAAACCATATAAAAAACCCCCACAGACCGAACGGGGAAGACCTCAACAACCTATAGATGGCTGAGATCTTCAATACTAACTTTACCTACCAGTTAATCCAAGCTTCCACATTTTCAGAATACTGCGCAAACCCAGTTCCAGCTGACGGCTTAGGGAACATCCGTATCACCCCTGACTTAGTATTAGGAAAACTAAAATCCTTACGTCCAGGTAAGTCACAAGGTTGTGACAATATTCGCCCCATTATATTGAAACAATGTGCAGAAGTCCTCTGTTCACCTATATGTGACCTGTTCAGGCATTCACTGAAGTCGCATCAACTCCCAGCTGAATGGAAACAAGCTACTCTCTCTCCAATATTCAATGGAGGAGATAGAAAGGACCCAGCCTGTTACAGACCAGTCGCACTACTTCCAAAATTATCAAAGTTTATGGAAGGGCTAGTGGACGAACAAATGAGGGAGTACGTGGATAAGAATAAAATAATCCGTGGGTTTCGGAAAGGCATCGTCGTGTACATCTAATCTTCCCACTGCATGGGACAGTTGAGTAACCAGTATGGACCGTAAAATACCGGTGCACGTAATATTTCTCGACTTTTCAAAATCCTTAGACACAGTACCCAAAGACAAACTATCCCACAGTGAGTATCTGACCGATGCATCACCGAAACTCCTCGAGGGTATCCTCAAAACACGATGCGCATCAAACAGCAAATACTCAGGTTCGTGGACACTTTTTCTCATTGTGAGTCGTCGCAACTTGAAATGCTCCCACAGTCTAGGCGACCTCAGGACCCTCAGTGGACAGCTTTGAAGAGAGACTTAATAATCACGTTCTCACATACAGATTACCATCTGACTCTTAGACAAGCTGTTCATGATGCATATCTTGAGACCTGTTAGTTGTTATCACTGCCATCTCCTCAGAACACTCAATTAATATATCTCGCATATTATCTCTGTTTCTGCTCCCTTGCTTACACTTCAGGCCTGTCTCACAATCTTACCTGCCAATCAATAAGCCAAACTATCTATATCACAAAAAAATCAACGGGTTTACACCAGCTCATGTCATTGTAAACCATAGTTGTGTTTAAAAGGCTGAAGGTTAGTTAGCAGTGTTTGAGGGTATTTAAATCTGAGGGTCATGCAGGAGGCAGCAGTTTGTCCTAAAGGTGTGTTGATTGTAAGAATATTCCAATTATCTTCTACTTAAGGTACCCTGAGAGGACGGAGAGCAGTTACGTCTTCTGAATGTATCGTTCTATTTGGAAATTTGTTTGCTTCTTGTTCATACTTACCAACTGCAACCTAAATTTTATATTCCAACACGGAACGCCAAATTTAGCCTATGCAAATGTTCTTGTTTCTGTTCCTCAACTATCGGTAAACTATTCCATAAATTTTATATCATAATAGGTTATCACTGATATTAGATCTCATGCTTTGTACTTGACAATTCACTTGAATTCCAGCTCGTCACCTCAAATATGTTTCAAATCCATCGTAAAAATCAGAGTATGTGATGAAGTTTTACTTTCTATTCAGTGTTGGAGTACATAGGTTTGTGTTTCTTTGAATGGATAATACTTCTTTGTATCCGATATGTCATTTGTCCTAAAATTGGATATTCAGAAACATTCTAAAATGAAATCAGAATGGATATTCGCTAGCGTTCTCTGATTGACGTCATAAGGAATTTTCAGTCAGATAATGTGAAATGTACAAGATAAATTATTGTTGACCTAATGAATGCTCTGTTCATGCTTCACATTTATCACGATGCTATTACACTGTAAATATTTTGTTTCGAACTTGGATTACCGACTTATGTGGTTGAAAATGAAATGCATTAGATATGTTTGTGTTTTTGCATATTAACAGGATGATGATTAAGAATACATGGCCTTATTATTTTCTAATACTGTCTTAGAAATAATGAGAAAACATGTAGTTTATAAGGAAAAGTGAAGCTGTACACATTTTACACATTTGGTTACCCATTTTCTATCGTATTTGTTTCAAACTTCATTTTCAATCAGTATAGATTACTTATTGAATATGCGTTTTGTGCCTTATTGTTTTATTAGGATTATGTTAGGCAAATTCGTTCAAATTACGAGTCCAAAATAAAACATGAGATTCTGTACGGTGTTGGTTTCGGATTCGATTTCTTCAAGAATATCAATCCTGATTTCAAACATCGTGGAGTGGAAAACTATGAGTATCGTGAGAGATCCGGAGGTCTTGGTAATTTGCCTAACACAGGTGAGTTGAGTGTAACGTGCTCATTGATAGCCGGAATTCATGATCAGAATGTAAATTAGTGAACTAGTCATCTTGTAAGCTATTCGACTAATTTTCTTAGCTGTTGTAAGTGACTGCTAGATGCATCTAACATTTATGCAGTCAGTTGACACCTAACCAAAATAGATTGGTTAGATTTTGCAATATTTTATTCAGTAACGGGATGTTTGTAACCAATTCTGTTAAATAACTATTTTATTGGTGTTATAGGTGGTGATATATTTGTCCATGCAAAGTGTGATGATCGTGGCATGTTGTTTGAATTGGCGAAGTTGATTATCTTTGGTATGCCACCTGAATGTGTGATGGAATTTGAAGATATTTACGGTTGGCATTATCGTGATAATCGTGATTTGAGTGGATTCATTGACAGTAGGTCATTAAACGGATAATATTTTTGCGTTTTTTTATTGTATGGTTTTTTTTGATTTTATATGAAAAAAGGCGTAACTTAAAACTGATTAGAAGATTTATTTCCTATGACGATAACATTATCATTGACAGTCATCAGGAATTAGTTGTAAATTCATCATGTTCAATAATTCAGTTTCTATTTTACGTCATCACGAGCATTCACTAAATATTTGTCTCTATAGGAAGTGTGTTTTGTTCAAAAGGCATTCATTCAGTTACTCGAAATCGTAGCAAATCTATTAGATAGTGTTTGATATTTTTCTCACAAGTGAAAACATCGTTGAACAATTCTATTTAGTAAAGATGCAAATCGCTTGAAAGAAGGTAATTATACCTCATTCATTTTGTCGGATGGCATGAAACGCAGGGTTTTTTAATCGAACATGTGTTTTAATATGTTTATTTGTGTTTGTTCAATTCGATTGTGTTGGAAAACTTTGATAAATGTCCGCGTAATGGGTATTTGTTTGTTTTAGATTTTTCTGTGTATAATTATTGTATACTCTGCAAAAAACTGATTATTGTTGATTGTTTGAAATTACTGAGGTATTACGAAATGAATAACTTCCAGTTTACTTGAACGTACGTTTTAATTATAGAGTATAAATGTCAAGATTTCATGAAGTACAATTAAGTCAATGGAACACTTCATTTACTGAAGTGATGAATTCGATTACATTGTATTATATCATGATCAAGACATTTATAATGATGAAAAGTTTAAGGTCAATTTTTCACACAATACGTATCATAAAAGTCAGATACGATGTAATAAAAACCTAACATTTTTAATACTGATCTTATTTTCTGACAAGATACGGAAAATCCTAAAAAATTAAAAGAACGAGTTGACGTAGCTGTCAATAAACGAACAGGTGGAAGTTACGCTGTTGCTCAGAGATGGGTACACAATATGAGTTTACTCCATAAGACCAGACGTAAGTGATATAACTTCATATAATTAATAAATATCTTTGATTGATAAATTGAAGTTTTCGAGTTTTAAATGTACATTGAATGAACTGTTCTAAGTGTGTATTCCTACATATTTTTGCTTAGCTGAATAACTGATGATGAGATACCTCGATACATGTTGATGACAAGATCCACGAAAGATCTTCTGTTGGCTAGGTTTGTTTTAAGAATAATTATTCCGACATTATCATTGACAGGTGTATTGAAGGAAACACAGGCCATAAAATGTATTTTAATTGATGTGTGTTGTAACGGTAGCTTAAATGATTCCTAGCTAAATCCTTTTGCTTAGTATTCTCTGACCACAATACACTGGACAAGTTCCCAAGAATCAAAAACACGGTTGAACAGGAAAAGATTATATTCCAAATAGCAAGGTTAAATGGAATAAGAGCCGAAGGTGAAGTCAAAAACGGCGAAAACAGATACAACGTTAGTTTCTTTATAGCATTTACATGAGAAGCTTCTGGATAGAAATTCACGTGATCGACTGGATTAGATTTAGCCAATCAGCGCGCAGCTAACAGTACGAGAATCTTCTACCCTGTTCTGCAAGAATCTATCAGGCACTGATTGGATAGGAAATTAGCCAATCAGCGCGCACCAACGTAGTCGTGTTTTAATTCCATCTACGTCCCACTAACAATGTTAATCAGTCACAAAATTCAATAGTTATTCAGACAATTTTATATTTGATTTATAGATGAAACCTTGGAACAATGGATCGGTCGAACAATCAAAGATAGTGTTGAACTATCAAATAAATCGGATACATCACATGTTGCTAGAATGGTTGGATGTAAGTTAGAAATGTCTGAGTTACATTGTGTGTGTGTGTGTGTGTTAAGTTTGCTTTTTTGGTAATGATTATTCATTGAAGTAGTACATTGATATAGTTACTTGAAAATCTGTTGACTTTTACGTTTCATTTAGTGTACTTTCATTCAGTTTTTCATATATTTTAAGGTGTATTTATTAATAGGTTAACATTTCCTCATAAATGTATCAATTCTTGTTGAAGTGGGTAGAAATTTGTTAGTATATTACTAATTTTGTCGCCTAATATTGAACACCTACCTATTCATCTCTCGTTTCAACTTAGCGTAATCACTATTCTCAACCATATTCAACATTTGACTTACGTTTATTTTGTCCGCGAGTTATTTTTCTCAATAGTTTTCAACATCATGAAGATTGAGGTTGTATATTCAGACTAAACATATATATGTTCTCATCTAACACTGAGGTTGCCAACCTGCGTCACCTATGACGTTCCGACCGAAGCTGCTACCTTGACGTGGTGGTCGGGCTTGCCTATCGTGATGACCCAACCGAGCTATGTTGACTGGAACATATGTTCCTGAAGGCTCTACCATGCCAGGCAGGTCGATTGGAGAGCGATGAGACTAAAAGCAGCTACTCAAGGTCTGAGGGCGAAGTCGTACTACTGACTGCAGAGGGATGTGACAGCAGTAAAGTGTTTCCCTTGGACAACCAGCATCTGCAGCGATGCTGCCTTCTCACAAGGAAGGAAGGGCTAGAAAAGGTCGACCCTAAAAATGTCACACCTCACCCTACCTCACGGATTTCCGTCTCCGGCGGTAAGGGTGCCCACTAAGGGCTTTCGAGTGCGGAGCTAACACTCAAAAAACTTCCCATAAAAAGGCCGTGCGTGACGGGCCTCAAGCAGTTGTCCCTTGGGCTCTGCGGTCACGCTCGCAGGTCTCTAAGACCAACACTAATCTATCTTCCTCTTCAGGTGCCTCAAGAAACAACCTTCCACGGTGTGGGCAGCCTGGAAGTGACAACCGCCCTCATACCCCTAACAGCACATGAGACCGATTTGGTCAAAATCAAATCATTCCTACACCCCTTAATACCTCTTTTATCTTCACGACTAACTCTTCTCACACTCCTTTATCACAGTGCACAGCTAATGCAAACGATACGAGTTCGCGAAACGTCGTTCCCGGTCTCCTTAAACCCCGTTCTAAACTACATGTTGGAGCATATAATGTACGTACATTACGTCAAATAGGGCAACAGGCATCACCAGCTAGGACTTTAGAATCTCGTGCCGTCGATGTATGCTGCGTCTCGGAAACGCGCATACAGGATCCGAATAGCGTCATTCACTTGACCTCACCATGTCAAGATAAAGAGGCAGCTCGATTTACCCTTCGTGTATCCGGTAGCCCTGATGCTGCTTCCCGGGGTCTCGCTGGTGTAGGTATAGTATTTAGTCGTAGGGCAGAACAATCTTTCCTTGAATGGACCCCTGTAGATAGTCGTTTGTGCGCCGTCCGACTAAACGGGACAGTAGGGATTCGAAAGGATAGGGACAATCGTCGTTGCCTCTTCGTCATATCAGCCTACGCCCCCACTGACTGCAGTCCAGACGATGTGAAAGATGAGTTTTACAGAAAGCTTTCGGACCTCCTCCAAAAAGCTAGGCGCTCTGATATAGTATTATTGGCTGGCGACTTTAATGCTCAAGTAGGTAGACTAAGTGAAAATGAAAGACACGTAGGTGGATGTTATGGCGTCGCGGCTCACAGAACAGACAATGGCGGCCGTCTGTTGCAACTGTGCTCAAAAAACCAACTATTTCTAGCAAACACTAATTTTAAGCATCAGGAAAAACATCTTTTGACCTGGTGACCCTCGAATTCGTTTCAACTTTGGACTCAACTAGATCATATCGTCATCAGCCACCGATGGAAGGGTTCGATAGAGGACTGCCGCTCGATGGAAAAGGCAGCGGCGATAGGCAACACCAGACAACTTTTCCGCCTTATCAAAGAAACCGGTATTAGGAACCCGAATGTGAGTGAGACTATCTCGGAAAAGGATGGTCTTATTATCCATTCTCAACAAAGGAGACTGGACCGATGGGCAGAACACTTTAGGGACCAGTTAAACTAGACTTCATCCACGCTTCGGTTGCCCACGATCCTCAGTCATCCCTAATGGCAAGTCGATTTAAGTCCTCCCAGTCTACATGAAGTTGAGAAAGCTATAGGAAATCTAAGGAGAGGTAGAGCGGCAGGTCCCGATAGGCTTACCCTTGAGATGTTTAAGGATGGTGGTCCAGTTTTAACGGTTAAACTGACCGAGATCCTAGGTAGAATCTGGGAACTGGACGTAATCCCATCTGACTGGTATCAGTCGCTAGTTGTCCCAATCTCTAAGAAAGGACAGAAGTCCTCTTGTGACAATCACAGGGGAATAAGTCTAACTAATATAGTTTCTTAATTGTTAGCCTCGATTATACTTAGACGTCTAACTAGAGCTCGTGAAGAGCAGACTAGAGAAAACCAGGCTGGTTTTCGACCTGGACGTGGTTGTATAGACGACATCTTCACACTACGACAGGTCCTGGAACACAGACGTACATTTAGACGTCCGACAATAGTCGTGTTCCTTGACCTGAAAGCGGCATTTGACTCTGTGGATCGTGAGGTTCTGTGTCAGTGTCTGTCATTGAAAGGTGGACCAAAGAAGTACATTAACCTTATACAAGCTCTGTACTCGAACACTACTGGTCGAGTGAGAGCATATGGCGAACTGTCATCGGAATTCTCTACATCAAGTGGTGTCCGTCAGGGATGTCCACCCTCTCCATTCTTGTTTAATTTTATCACAGACATGGTCTTGGAAATAACCTTATCGTCGTCTGAAATTTCGGGAGTAGACCTATTACCAGGAGGCTCACTGACTGACTTAGAATATGCCTATGACATTGTCCTACTTGGTGAAGACGCTGACAAAATGCAGAGTTTTCTGACCACCCTAAGCAACAATGTAAGCATGTTCAGGATGCGATTTCCCCACCACCCGAAATACAAAATGTCGCTTTGAGACTGGGTTGCATCGGCACGTGAACTAGTGATAGGGAGTGAAGTAGTCGAGCGTGTAGACCGCTTCACTTATCTGGGGAGTCTCATCAGCACCGATGGCCTGGTGACTGACGAAACCTGAGCACATGGCCGTTAAGAGTAGATGTTCGTAGGTTACTTGTATTCGATCATCGATATTTAAGAAGCATTGCTCGTATATTGTGGGACAACCGAGTAATCAATGCTGTCGTTAGGAAACGAGAACTAGGTAATGATGGTAGATCAATAGATGAAGTGGCGAAACTTCATCAGTTGAGGTGGTCGGGTTGGGACATGTGTTACGTATGGCTAACCACCGACCGCCTCGACGAGCTGTGTTTTGTGGTGTAGGAGAAGGTTGGAACAAAGTTAGGGGCGGCCAGACCAAAACATGGCAGAAATCCATGAAGTTACTGACAGACAAGTGGACTGAGTGATGTCGGTAGATGTAGACTACCTGGTTGGTGTCCGCAAGACGATAGTCAGCAATGGTTAGAAGAGACCTTGAACGACATGGCTCAAAATCGTTTGCAATGGTGCAAGTGCATCCATTCTTTGAGCTCTCTCAAATCCTAATCTTCTGGATTCGTCAGCAGCTCTACCTTTGTCTTTCTAACCTTATCTCACTGAATTATACTTCTTGAATAATATCTTCAAACCCTAGTCTTCTTCATTACCATTAATACCTCCACTATCTTTATTACTATGGGATTTGATTTGACATTTGCATCTCTGTGCTTATTTGGTGTGTCAACATGAACTTATGTACATACGTACGAAGTTCCACGTTGCAACTGACTGACTAACTAACACTGAGAATTGCAAATTGTTCGGGTAGTTGATGTATAATTGTCAATGTTTCTATTTTTTTGTATTTCTTCTTCTTATTATTAACAGCTGCACAGTTTGATGCGGAAGAGAAGTATCAAATTGTTCGACAATCTCAACCTTATGGTACTTTATCAAGAGAAGCTGGTCTGTTTTTCATTGCTTATGCAGAAGATGTCAAGAATTTCAATTTTATGTTAGATCGTATGACCGGGTATGGTGATGATGAGAAAAATGATAATTTAATGAAGTTTACACGTTGTGCAACAGGAAATTATTTCTATTTTCCTGATCTTATTGAATTAAATCGTTTGATTCGTAATAATTGAAAAAGAATTTCTTTGTAATGCGGATGATGGTGATGACGATGAGATCAACTGACGCATATACAAACTGAGAAATAATGCATTATTTTATCGCTATGATTGTAAATTAATTAACTTGAGACGTTTTCTTTTTATCTTTGAGCGTGAAATATGAATATAAACTGTAATGTTTGATTTGTTTTACTTCGTAATAATTTAAGGTATGGTGCCTATGTAAAGTTGTTGATCGAAATGTATATTACAGTGATTGTATATAATGTTGATGCTGGTTAAAATGGCATGTTTTCGTAATGACACTAAGGTTTAATTGAAATTAGATATGGTAATGTAAGCTTGTAATTGAAATTCCATATCGTTTCGTGAGAAAGTATCTAAGTAAACTTGCACGTACGTTAAGACTGTTATTCAGACCACGGAAAATGCCTTCTGGAACCGAACCGATAACTGTCAGTCTTGTGTAGGAACGACTTATCTGTTGATCTTCGAGTTGGCATCTAAAGATGTGAATGTTTAACTTCGATGAATCCACGATTTCGCGGACTTCGTCTTGACTGAGCAACAGCTACAAACACTACTCAACTGCATTCCACTGGTCACAGCTTCTCACTACAACTCTAAGAATTCCATCACGGATCTAGTCAATCACTAGTGAGCATAAGCTGATTGTTATCGTAGGGTTGTGGTTTCTAAATCACACATGTTGCATACTTTTGAGACAAAAATATCTGTAAACGATAGATTTGATTGAATTGATGTAAGTCAGGAGTGATGATGAAGAGGCATAATTTTGTTGTTTGGAGTCACCATTGATATGCGAAATAGAGTGGTTGTTATTTCGATGTCATGAATCGATCTATATATGTTCGATCATTGTAGTAGACGTGTAAGGAGTGCACAGTTGTCTCGTACCTGTATGGGACTTATCAGCAGCATCCTATTGAAGAAACACTCACTGAACATTCTGTCATCTTAATAAACGATTTACATAAGTATCTTAGTGACATGTTGCTCTCGAGTGAATGAGCGTGCTTTTCTATTAAACTTGTCCGTAAGAACAATCTTCATTTAATCCCCTAACAGACGAAGTTATAATTTCTTTAGAGTTTGAAGAGTGCGAGTGAAGTTAGATATCAGTTATTTTACATGTGATAGTATGTTAAACCGAGAATTCGGTTGATACACTCAAGACTTCATTTGAAAAAGGTTTGATATTTCCACGTTCGTTATTGTTGAGTTAAGATTTAGCAACTGACGGTATGGTATTTTCAAATTTGAAGACGACTTATCGATCATTCGTCAATCTATTTCTTTATCACTAGAAAAGTCTATTTCATTTTGTTTGAAAACATTCAACAAACAAAGTTTACCGACAGCCATTTTAATCACTTTGTCGGTGAATACTTCGACAATGATAAGTGAAATATCATCAAGGAATAATTGTACAATTCATAACAATAACATTTATGTAAAGTTTCACATCGTTAGGGGAATTCTTGTAGCATATGTCAATGATATGTATCGTGCGCTCAAAGTTTTAGTGCTCAACGTTTCAATAACACACCCGGCAATAATAAGTATACGTTTCAATTGATTTTGTTGTTAGAAAAATAAGTATAGTGCAATCAGTTTATCTGTTGTGCACAACATTCAAATACAACCTGTTAGGTCAAACTAGTTCAATATAAGATCAGGCAAAAAAATGTATTGTTTCAAGGTTTTAGACCAAATGAATGTGTCACGAGGAAAGCTTAGATTAGTATACGTATTAACAGTTCTATTGGTCATAAAATAATGCAGACAGAAAAGATGATTTGAGATGAGAAGTTCGATTGGTGCAAGAACGACTAGAACAAACACACAACATTGACTGTACCCAATTTCATATGTACGTTCAACATTCAGATAAATTGTAGGCAAGTGGTTTGCTTTGTTTCAGTCACCTCTAGATTTTCTATTATTCAATGTCCTTTTCACAAGCTATCATAAACAAATTCCATTCTTTGCGCTCGATTCTTTACTTTCGGTACGGTCCCATGTGTTTGGTATTGTCCAATGAATGGAGGTCTAGCCACTCGACTGTCTAATTTTTGTCAGTTTGCAATTAGTTGTGAGTTTGTTTGTCCCATAATGTGAATGAAAACGTTTCTTTCATTATGCCTGATGTAATCAAATACTAATACGAGTTCACCTTATACAATAAACAGGAATAAACCATCGATACAGTGAGACGATAGACCCGGCCACCCTGATCCAATGGTCATGATAAGGCGTAGAAAGTGTAGCCTACAAGCATCAAGAAAATGCGAGGTTGACCAGCACGCTAATCGAGCTTATTTATACATGATAGAAACGCATTTGGTAAAGCCATAAAACAGCGTACGAAAATAATCCATCAACCAATGAAAGTCACGGTTTTTCCGGGATGGAAGTGTTAGCTGTAGGTTGACTAACAGAACACAATGAAATTCGACATTTCAGAATAAGATTACAATCATTATTTTCATATCTTCATAGCAGTTTTAGTTTTTATTTCTAGTAGACAGACAAATTGACAAGCCTGTAGATGCTGATCAACTACTGTCAATTACAAGGAACTCAAACACCATGTATAATTGTGAGTATCTTCTTATTTACGTATTAACAGTTTAACTAATTTTTATTTTGCCAATTCATTAACATCCAAACACCTTGCCTGCTTACCAACTTATCGCTTTACTCATTAATTTTTAACATTATTTCAACTCTTTTTTCTCCTTCTCCTCGTTCCAGCTCCCTGTCCTTCCTATTTCCAAACTACCTATTGACTGACTCATCTTACAAATCATACCATTCGTTTACTTAAAATCAGTGTGATATGCTTCGTGGATATTTTCTCTGGCGAAGTTATCTGGATGGCTTGTAATATGGAGCTAGTAGAGAAAGTGAATTCCGATAAGGTTTACAAAAAAAAATTAGAGTAGACTAGAGACCATTATTTACAATCAACCATTAAACGTAAGAGAGCCTAACATCACAAAAGGAGGGAGGGTGGAGTTTCTGACCAGCATTCATGACGGTGGGGCGATAACCTCAATCTACCCATGTCTGTGTGGCAGAACATTTTGTTTGCTTACGGCTCCTTACGATATGGCAGGATGTAACAAATCAGTGATATTGATGTTACTTTTCCTTGTTAACCTCGTCTACAACTCATGTCTGTAACCTTGCACTGGTTTTTACTTCCTACCGAGAAATCCTATTACAAGCTGGTCTGGATAACTATACTAAAAAAGAGCTCATTCATAATTTCTTGAGCTGCAGAGTTAAAAATAAAAAGAATATATAAAACAAAAAATTATATCACTGAGCCTCTTTATTATATTTTGTAAATCAACATTATTACTAACAACTTGGTACTTCTGAATTTCCTCTATTCTTTCGACTAACTTCCCAATAGTTATCTCACCAATAATTTGTCTTCATTAACCTACATAAGTGCAGGTGTACAGTAATGACATTAAAAAAGTCTGAGTAAACATACCTTTGTTTTATCTATAAACGTATTTTCTGTTCCGCTCCTCGTCCCGTTTTCTTTATTCCTCTTTTTTCAGAACCTTATTCCACTCCTCATATATTAGTCTGGATATTTGCAGTAGACTTGGTTACCCTACCCAAGAACATGTAAAATCATTAGCTGATGAATATCAACCAGACCTTTGTACATTTGCCGCATCAATTCTTGTTATATGCAAACCTATCTCTACCATGAATCGTTTCTCAGTCCATAAGATGATTGTCGTAACGCAACCTTCGTACCTTGCGCCAATTATTCGCATTGAACATTCCATCTTTAAGAACACAATGAATCTTGTGAAATGTTTCAGTAAATGTATACCGTTTTAAAAGAAATATGTTGTTAATCTTAACATTTTGATCTTGCCTGTAAATTGGCATGTCTCTTGTAACATGTTTGTTATTTGAGAATAAATTATTATTATTATTAACTGTTTGCAAATGAGGTTTTGTGATCCAAAGTCACCACTACACCTCCATTTTTATCAGCGTACATTCTCTGGTCGACTGGTATCCTAACTTCTGTTCACCGCTCTTTCAGAGAGACTTCTTTCCGGAACGTAGATCAGCTTATTTTTAGTTTCATCTTGAAGTGGGGATGCCAGTGAAGTAAATTTATCTAGCCGGATGTCATGGCGAAGATTTACTCCTGCTTATAGGCAATGCAGGAATAGCCATTTGCGTATCTGTTGTGAACATCTACCAACTTTAACCCCTACTTGTACATGTCACGGTCAACACTGCTGACCATTCGCGCCCCTGTTCATTAACCATCGGATCAGTTTGTAGTCACGAGCAAACATAGGACATCTCATTTCACACGTGAATTATTTTTCAGACTTAGCCTGTACTGATGTCGGTGCATTACTCGCATGAATCAAGCAATGGATCGTTTCCAGTCTTATTCCCTACAGGATTACTGCTGAACACTTCTGCTTCAGTTACGCTTCATATGCTGTTGTTCGATAAATGCACAAAGTTATGACGCATCAGCTGGCCTCCCCTCCTCTTTTGACTCAATCAATGCATATGTGTTTCAGCTTGCCCATTCAACTACGGATAGTATGGTGATGATTGTATGTGCTCGATGGCTAGCCGTTGATAGAAAGCATGGAATTAGGTGGAGATAAATTACGGTTTCTTAGATGGCCAACCGTTGGTGACACAGCTCATCTTCATCTTGATGGAGTAATCCCTGGAAGAGTTTCGTACGTCTGTCGCAGACACCGTCAGTGCCCGTATTGCGGTTGTCAGATTGCTATTATATACTAATAAATTCTTGTTTCTTAAATTCATATTTCGTGTATCTCGTGTCTGAATTATCCCGACTTTCACCTCTCAATCTCACTGGTGTCATGTTTAGTAGTAGGGTTCTCAGCACATCTTACACTATAACAACTAAGAAAACTCAATGAGGTATGAAGATCGGGGTTAATAGTGGTTCGAAAATCACAGTCTCATGCTACCGGGTTGTGAAGAACTCAAACGGTCACTTGAAAGCACACCTCTCAGTGTCCATACTTTTGATCACTCAACCCAGATACCACAAGGTCCCAAACTGTGAAATAAAGACATCATTCCTCCGAATCCTATTCCCAAAATGACCAGTATACTAGCTAATAATAGGAGAAAAAGGCGTCTCAAGGCTCAGTCAACACAGTCTGTCTTCCGAAAACCGCATAAGGATGACTGCTTCGCCTGCTCCTTGCCAGTCTGAAGAAGGGACTCCGCTTTCGAATGCAATTTCTTCAGTACATGGATCCATTGTCACTGCGACACTACAGTACCCAAAGTGTACTATGTATTCATACTGAGTCTCCTCTTACCGTGGTTCTTGTATATCTGTTAACGGTGTAGCGTATCTGAGGCATCGGCAAAGACACAGGCCCCACCCAAAATCAGCTCAAAATTCCTAAGTACCAAACCAACGCACTAAACCATAGCAACACCCTAACTCACAAGCGGCTGCCACCCAAGGACACGGATGACAGAATAAATTCACTTATTTTATTTAATGTCCCAGTATCGGAAGGAAGCTTGTTAGAATGTATTGCTGCATTTGACAAAGAGCAGTGGGATAAATACTGCACAACCCTCGGAATGTGCAACGTCCCAGCCAAAATATGCCGCCATCTCAAAGGCTAGACTGTCTCGAAAGGAAAACCCACTAAAATGAGGGTAACTCTTGACTCGGCCCGACCTCCTGAAGACATCATCCTTTCATCACAAAGACCACCGGTCAAATTGTCCTTGCGGATTCGCGTCAGCTACGCACAGGCGAAAATCCTGCAGAGGCCAGTTCCCACATAATTGGTCAACTAGGTTTGAACAACTTGTTTAAAAACCCAAAAGCGACTGTTTCTGCAGAGGTGTACCAAGTGCTGGGAAAAACTACCAGGTGCCTCTATAGCAACGTAAGTGCACTAACAGGTAAGCTGTTAGAAATCAGGAACATGTACTCTCAGATGGATCTGAAGATAATAATCCTAACTGAAACATGTCAATACCCTGACTCTGAAAACGACGAAGTGAGCTTGCAAGGCATAAAACTCTTCCGAAGCGATCGGGTACGGAAACAGGAGGCAGAGAGGCAACATATATAAACATTCACTTAAAAACCGAGTGGCTATACGACACCCAACTAAGTGAGTTGACAGAATCATGTTGGTGCTGTCTCCACACGAATGACATGAAATACTTGCTCGAGGGGATTTACTGACCTCCCTCGAGTACTAATGCCCAGAAAGACAAATTGACCGAGGCAATGCTGTAGAATCGATTTTCAAGGCTTCGTTTTTGGGAAAATCCTTCCATGTATATATTTGTGTTATGATCTCGCTAACTCTCTCTATTCAATATTTTGATACCCTGTTTAGTCCCAATTTGAGAGGTTATTATTTGTATTTTGTTATAGTTTCTATTTTCTGTACTTCTATTGGAGTTTATATGTTTCCTTCTGAACTGTAAATGCGTTTTTTATACTGATACCTAATATGGCTAAAGACTTGTCGGATTTGATGCCTTTACGGTAACTTCGTATTCCTCACTGGAAGGTTGTACTTGTCTGTATTCCTTTTTTGATTAATAATAGAACAGTTCCTACCCCGAAACTTACATTTTGAATTTGGAGTGGGCAAGGCGCGTATATGATTCATACTGTTTCCGAAATCAAGGTTCATTGAAGTGAAATTTTCAGTAATACTACAACTGCCACTCCTGGGGTTTATTCAAATACTCTTAACTGGAGATTTCGATACCACATCTCTTAACCTCAGCAATCAGATAACAACTCCCACTGGTTGGTTCCAAAGACAACTTGGAGCAGCCATTAGAAGCGTATTAGAGAGACCGTCCTACATGCTTTATGGCTACGGGAATGGTGGAGGCTGACAGTAGACGATCACTGGCAAACAGTGAGAGATATCATCCAAAATGCTGTCGTAGACAATGTACCGAAGTCACACCACTCAACTGAGAATTGAAGAACAGGGGTTGGGCGTGGCACTGAACGCTTGCCACAGGCGAAGAGGGGAGCGTGGTAAAAGCGGGCGGTCTCCTTGAAGGATTATGATCGTAGTTCTTACTTGGCATTGTAGAATCCTTTTTGAATGTTTTGTTTTTTGGAAAATCCCTCCATGTTTACATATTTTTGCTATGACATGACGGACTTTTTCTGTTGACATTTTTGGTATTTTATTTGATTCCAATTTGAGGCTTTATCATTGTATATTGTTATTCTTTCTATATTTTGTACTTATATTGAAGTTTTTGTGTTTGCTTCTGAACTGTACATATGTTGTTTAAATTTGATATACTATGGCTACCGCCACATTTTTGGACTGACGCAGTGGCCGCTGGACTTAGCGTCACTATTTTGTTACTGTGTCTGATACTCTGCGGAGTAACTGAACCCTGGAAGAAGCACTATTTCCGTAATGCTTTGTATTTCCATTTTTTAACTAATACAGAGACGCTTTCTCCTAGAAATTTGTCCTTTTTGAATTGGTTGGGACCCGGAACTGGGAAAAGCGTACAGGAGTGCCTCTATTGGAACCCATTGGGACGGCCACTGTAGAAATATATTTACAGTCTGGAAATACTTCTATCAACGATATATCCTGGAATTATCGATTACGATTACAGTTGGATTATTAAGAATTATAAAGAAACATTTGGAATTTTAATCGTTTATCACACTAGACTTCTCCAGCAGGTTAACCTGCGACGACGAAAAGTAAAATGAAGTCAAAAAATTTCGTCTTTCCCCCAGTTCTTTAGAGTTTTGGGAACTATGACGTTATACTTTCTCTTCCCACTGTTCACCCAATACTCCCACATAGTTAATTTTATTAATTGATCGAATGCACACTGTTGACAAACACATTAGAATCACAGAAACTGAAAAAGAATTTGGTTTGTAAGAGAGCAATCAATAGATGCAGCGAGATCTATCACATAGTCGTCCAACATCGGTACAAACATGGTTATTGAATCCGTTATTTTTACTGCCTAATCGTTGAGGAAGACAAAGTTTGTTTCCTTGGAATTATCTGAGTTTACCAGTGTGGTAGTGAAAAACTAGATCGTCCCCGGCTAACAGTGAGAGATGGGACTCGGAATAAACTTTGCCAACAATATGCTTGATTCTATTATCATTATTATTTTGTTGTTATGTTTTTTGTAATTGACTATTTTCTAAAGCAATTTTCGTTTGATGTACGCTAAAACCAAAATTTTCCTCAGTTGTGTTTTTCACACCTCAGATAGCAATCTCGGTCCACTGACAACAGAAAACCACTTGAAACTTCATGTGCGGTACAGCCAAGGCTAAGACAGTTCATCACTTTACGCAAATGCAACGAGGTGTTTTCACCGCACAATTGTTCTTATCTCTCTTCAACTCTTGTATACTTATAATGCAACACATCTTACATATTTCGAACTCTGGGCAAATGCTTTCTGACTGATATATGTTTTTCATATTTACTTTCAAGTGATCTGAAACTGGAATTATTACCTCAAGTCTTCAATAAATATGAGTCAATTTTATCACCTCCCAGATTAGTACTGCATGAAATACTGTTTTTGGATTTCATCTCCAAATAACTTCATACTCATTTATTTAGATGTTTATACTACTGGTGAAAAACTTTGTAAATTAAACTCTCTCATTAATCACTGGTATTCACTCATTTTTATTCTATCCCCACTGTTACGTTCTATTACAAATGCAACCGAAGGTAAACTACCAAACACCTGGAACCGTACCAAGAGAACAAATATCGAGCGCAAATAAATCAATTGGTTAATACTAGCTCCTGAAAAAGATATTGCATAAAATGACTTGAAATTATTCTACTGCATATGCCATTTAAACACAGAATTAATTGTGTAAAATTCTCTTTCTATACAGTAAAACTTCAAGCTGTCACTGGCCAGGTTCGAGTAGCCAATAGTTGGAAAGTGTTTTACTTACTCAAATAAACTTGTGCTTCTCATCAAACAATTACGAAATCAAGGGCATGAGGTATATGTCACTACTTTTTAGAGGTAAATGATCTTTAAACTTCATCTGTTACTGTTTCAGGACTTCGCACTGTACCAAGAAAAACACCAATTACAGGGTGCTTCGTTGTAGGAGGAAGTCTGCTAGCTTCTTTCACCGTTTATACAAACAAGGAACGTTTGACCAGAATACCATATTTAACTGCTGCATGTGCTACTAGAATTGCTCCTCAAGGATCAGTAAACTTTCTATTCTGCTAATATTTATTTTACATAGGTTGTTAGTGAAACGAAGTCTCATGCTCTCTTTCTGACCATTCACCTTAATCCTGAAGCATCACCACAGGATTGCTTGAAGTCTATCGGACGAATCAAGGTATGGTTTAATATTATGCTCTTTTTAAAATTATAAGCTCAAAATGGTTGTACTTTATAGTGGTTGGTTTTAAATTTAGCTTTTGAATTTAAGCAATTAGTTAATAATACTACAACTATTCATAAAAAATAACTCTCATTTGACAGGTCGAGTATAAAATACCTATTTTTCCAGCAGGAAAACTTGTCCGAGTTTTATTAGCAGGATTTAAAACTTTGCAAGAATGATACTAATAGAGTTTTTAGGGTAAATCATAGTCTTTGTGGGCTCTCAATTCATAATTATTTCTTTTCTTATTTTCTAACATTAGAGGGGAAATGACCGATAGAAATTTGTATTCTTGTCTCATTTAAAGTGTTATTATATGTTCACGTGTTAAATACAGTATTCATCTTTGGTTTATATGACTTGCTTTGCAGTTAAGTGAGAATATTATCTCAAAACTTCTGGTCTCATGAATGAAGCTCATAAACCCATTATTGTTTCATTTCGATACAGTTTATTGAAGAAGTTTAGATGAATTTTTTTGCAAGACATTGTTCACCTGTTATTTATCGCCATCATAGATGAGGTGAGGTGCTACTAAGTAAATACTTTCATTAGATTTGTGATTCTGCACCACACAAACTTGGTCAAACTTAGCTAATTTTTGAAGCCATATGGTAGATGAAGTGAAACTCAATAAAATCTCCATTTCTTTGTCTTTATTAGGTACTTTCTGAACAATGACATCTTTCGAAGTTTTGTTTGCTAATTTAACTCTTAGAATTTTATTTTTATTTATTAAGCAATATGTTAATGTATGCATGACATAGAGAAATTGAGAAACGAATTACTGCTTAACAAAACTTTGTGGTTAGTAAAATACTTGCATCCAAACTGATTATGATTCAAAAGTGTATTACTTCCATTCTACATAAATTTAACAGTGTTCATATTGTCATGGGAAATAATTATTGATATGCATTATGGCGAAAATAAGAAGTGACTTTTAGCATTGGCTCGTGGAAATTTTTGTTTCATTTCAATCATGAACTTATTAATACTGAGACAACAGTGGGATTTAACACTAGCGTACATTCATGACCCCTAAATGTATCTAGTGTAATCCTTAGCCTAAACAGGAGTTGAAAAATATAGTTTCACACATATGTTTCCCATATATAAAATGGTTCACAAACGTGTCTTTTTTAAGATATTAATCATATGTTATGATAGTTTTAGTATGTGTTATGTCGACTTGAAATTTTCTCATCATGGTGGAGAAGATTTATAGCTCAGGTGGGTGATTGTGGTGGTGGTGTTTGATTCTCTGAGCCGGGTGTTTTGGTTGTGGAGCTTTCATTGTTCTTCTTTTGAACAACATCATCAGCACAAACTCTAGATAGAAGTGAAGCATTCGAGTTTCTCCACGTTTCACCTGAAGCTTGTTCTGCTAACCTCGATCTTGATTGGTTGCTGTTGACCTTAAACCTGTCGTTGTGGAGAAATTCAAATGCTTCACTTCTATCTGATGTTTGTACTGATGATGTTGTTCAGAAGAACAGTGAAAGCTCCACAACCAAAACACCCAACTCAGAGAACCAAATACCACCACCACAATTTTCTCATCATGTCTTACCCTCAAGACTATATGACTAAACTTCAGGTCATAAAGCAGTCTATCGATTTTTGTTCACAACAAATATAATCAAGAATGTACTGTTCTTTCAACCTCATTGTTTTTACAAATGATGTATTCAATTTCAAGAAAACATACTTTCAGTAGCATAAGCTTATAATTCCAGGTAGAACGTGTTGTCTTATGCCTTTTTTTTCCACAAAAGAGTTGAAGAAATTTGACCTATTAGTTTCTTATCATTAGGCTCTAATAGTCTGATGCTCAGTCTTGCAATCAATTCTTCCTTTACATGCATATGTTTTCGTGATTAACAATAGTCTCTTTCTGATTATGATCTTTTAGCTTGAATCCCTTTTTGTAAATGAGGGTTTTTTTATGTACACAAGCTTTTATGTAAAATTCAATGAGTCTGTGTTTTTACAAGTGATATTTCATCATCATCGAAGATAGATGATGACAATTAAACGATGAAAGTTTTATTCTAGACGATTTCGTTTAATTAAGCTGTAAAATTGTATTTATCGTTGATTTTATGTGCTAAAATAGGTAGTTTGTAATGGAAAAAAATGGTGTGAAGTTGTAGTGATAATAATAATAATAAAGACAGCTTGAAGTACTGTCGTGTCATGAATATTTTTAAAAAAAAGTAAATAGTGTAAGGAATTTATGTATTAATCAGTTAATAGAAAGTATTAAGGTGAAGATGATAATTGTACATTCGATATATATTCGGAACAAACTAAACAAAAACGTTGTAATAATGGCCAGTAAGTGAATAGTTGCAAAAGTTAGTGAAATAAATTAGGATTGATAATGTTTAAAAAGGTCTAACAAATAAAGAAATAGGTACTAGGTAGAGGTGGCAGATCAAGGGATGAAGTAGTGAAACTTCATCGGTTGAGACGGTTGGGACATGTGATGCGTATGCCTAACCACCGACTGCCTCGACGAGCTATGTTTCGTAATGTAGGAATAGGTTGGAAAAAAGTTAGGGGTGGCTTCACCAAAGCATAGCACAAATCAATGAAGTCACTGACAAGTGAACTGAGTCATGTTGATAGGTGTCGAATACTTGTTTGGGGCTCGCGAGATGATAGTGATCGATGGTTAGGGGCCCTGAATGACATTGCTGAAATAGTTTGTTGTGGTTCAGATGCGTTCATTATTTGTCTACTAATAAGTCCTAATCTTCCTAATTCCTCATCACCTTTCCCTTTTTAAGTTTATTCTACTGGATTCTACTTCTTGAACAAAATCCTTGAATCATAACCTCTCCGATTACTACTAATATTTCTACTACTATTGGATTTATAGTGACCATGGCGTCTCCGTGCTTAAGTGGTATTGCAGCTTGAACTGATGCACGTACGTACAAAGTTCTTCATTGTAACTGACTGATTGACTGACTGAATCAAGAAAAAAACCATATATTATGGAAGAATGCAAAGAAAGTTTAAGACCATGAAAGAATAAGTGACCGAGCACACACTGTGCTGGCATGCAAAAGTTAAACTTCAACTGGTTGGTGTCAATCAGTCAATAGCAACGTAAAAACTACGTATGTACGTACATCAGTTCATGTTGCCATTACCATATTAGCACAGAGATGTAAGTGTCAATTCGAATCCCGTAGTAGTAGAGGTAGTAAAGCTTTTAGCAGTAATTGGTGAGATTAGGATTAGAAGAAGTTATTCAAGAAGTAGGATCTAGTGAAATAAACTTAAAAAGAAAAATAATGATGATGAGGAACTATGAAGGTTAGGATTTCAGAGAACACAAAGAATGAATGCATCTGTGCTATTGCAGACGGTTCTAAGCCATGTCATTCAGGGTCTCTAACCATCGATTATGATCATCTCGCGGACTCAAACCACGTAGTCGACAACTACTGACATGACTCAGTTCACTTGTCAGTAACTTCATGAATTTCTGCTATGTTTTGGTCTGGCCACCCCTAGCTTTCGTCCAACCTATTTCTGCACTGCAAAATATGGCTCGTCGAGGCAGTCGGTGGTTAGGCATACGCAAAACATGTCCCAACCATCTCAAATGATGACGTTTCAGCACTTCATCTATTGATTTGCCATCCTTACCTAGCACCCGTTTCCTAATAACAGTGTTGCTCACTCGGTTGTCCCAGGATATACGAGCAATGCTTCGAAGACAGCTGTGATCGAAAACCAGTGACGTACAAATATCTTCTACTCTGACTGGCCATGTTTCAGAGCCATAAAGTAGGAAGAAGTGAACTACTGAGCAGTACACTCGTCCTTGAGTCAGCAAACGGATATCTCGCCTACGCCATAAGTGACGCAGTTTGGCAAAAGCCAATCGAGCTTTCTGTATCCGTGCTGAGACTTCGTCAGTCACCAGGGACTGATGAGACTCCCAAGGTAAGTGAAGCGGTCAGCACGCACAACTACTTCACTCCCTATCACTAGTTCAGGTACCGATGCTGCCCGATCTTGAAGCAACATTTTGCATTTTGAGGGGGAACCCGAATCCCGAACACGCATTGTTGCCTAGGGTGGTTAGAAGACTCTGCATTTTGTCAGCGTCTTTACCAAATAGAACTATGTCATTGGCATATTCTAAGTCAATAAGCGAGCCTCCTGGTAAAAGATCTACGAGGATAAGGTTATATCTAGGAGCATGATTATGACAAAATTGAACCAGAATGGAGAAAGTGGACATCCCTGACGGACACCCCTTGAAGTAAAGAATTCTGATGAAAGTTCGCCATAAGCTCTCAGTCAACCAGTGGTGTTCGGGGAGAGAGCTTGTGTAAGGCTAATGTACTTCTTTGGTACACCTTTCAATGACAGACACTGCCACAGAACCTCACGATCAAAAGAGTCATATGCCATCTTAAGGTCCTGGAAGGCAACTATTATAGGACGCCTAAATATGTTTCTGTGTTCCAGGACCTGTCGTAGAATGAAAATGTGGTCTATACAGTCACGTCCAGGTCTGAAACCAGCCTGGTTTTCTTCAGTCTGATCTACACGAGCTATAGTTAGGCGTCTAAGTATAATCGAGTCTAGCAATTTAGGAACTAGATTAGTTAGACTTATTCCACTGTGATTGTCACAAGAAGACTTTTGCCTTTTCTTATAAATTGGGACAATCAGGGATTGAGACTGATTGGTGTATAGTAGTAGCGTCTGCTGTACATATGTTCATTAAGTTAGTATTCCTTTTTGCGCCAACGCTTTGACTGTATGTGACAACCAGTTAGAATTGATTATTATAGTTGTGTCCGAAAAAAATTGATGCTTTTGACTGAATTCTAAAATCTAACATCACTTTACTAATTCCTTGACTAATAGTCTGAACTATATTAATCAATTTAAATTGTCTAGTATTAAATTTGTGCATCGAACACAATCCCTGAGTAACATGACCCACAATCTATCACAGTAATTTTAGTAGCGTTTTTTCTATGTATTGAGTTGAAGTGTTGCTTAGAAATCCCTTGCTTTTCATGATGACCCGACCGGGCTATATCGGCTGGACCATATGTTCTTGTAGGTCCTACCATGCCATACAGGTTTATTGGAGAACAGTGAGACTAAAAGCTGCCACTCAAAGTATGAGGATGAAGTCGTACTGCGGATAGTAGAGAGGTGTGGCAGCTGTTAGCCGTTTCCCTTCGGGCAATCAGCATCTTCAGCGATGCTGACCTCACACAAAGAAGGAAGGAGTTAGAAAAAGTCGATCCGAAAAATGTCACACCTCACCTTACTTCATGAACTTCCATCTCCGGTGGTTAGGGCTTTTAAACAAGAGTGGAGCTAACACTTCAATAACTTTTCATAAAAAGGTCAAGCGTGACCAGCCTCAAGCAGTCGTCTCAGGCTTTGCGGTCACACTGTGGTGCGAGCTACTTATAAGTAGTATATGACGTGAGTGTAAACGTAATGTCTGGCAGCAGAAGAGAAGATGGGAGAAGATCAAGAAAGGAAGAGTGGGGGGAACACAATGGAATTTGTGTATGAAACGCATGAATAGTGACAATGGATTGATGTTTTGCAACAGGAACAGTCCAGTTCGATATGATGAACTGATATTTTGCAAATTGACGATTTACGATATGGTTTTCCGATTTTACTGAGTAACTCTGTAGTTTTCGTTATATACACTCCGGTTGCCCCACCTGTGTTCTCCTTCACTACAACACTTCCAGGTCTCTCTGACCAGCTCTAACCTACCTTTTAATTTTCTTCAAGAACCACTCTTATACGGTGCAGGCAGCCAATAAGTGACATCCGCCTTCATACCCCGTAATAACACACGAGACCAAGTTGATCACAATCAAATCCATACAACTGTAGTGAACGAGAACACAGGTGGGGCAACCGGATTGTATTTAACGAAAATTACAGAGTTAGTTATTCAGTAAAATCGGAAAACCATATCGTAAATGATTAATTTGCAAAATATCAATCAGTTCATCATATCGAACTGGACTGTTCCTGTTGCAAAAAAAACATCAATCCATTGTCACTATTAATGCGTTTCATACACAAATTCCATTGTGTTCCCCCCACTCTTCCTTTCTTGTTGATCTTCCCCCATCCTCTTCTGCTGCCAGACATTACGTTTACACTCACGTCATATACTACTTATAAGTAGCTCGCACCACACTACTACTTAACTTTTACGATTATTTTTTTCTGTTTGTTGTTGTTGTTAATTTTATTATTAAAACTAAATTGTTTTGATTGCTTTGTTGTTGTTATTATTATGATTATTGTTATGACTGTCGTGGTCACGTGATGCATGTTTTTTGTTTTACCAAGTTCTATATTATTGATCATTGATTAGATTCACCCATTCAATGTTCATTCAAGTTGTTTTTGCGCTACATTAATCCTTTTTTTTAACATCGCATTCATCAATTTTGTTTGTTTTGGCACATTCTAAAGAAATATGTTGATACAATTTGTCCACCGGATTCACGTGGAGAAGAAGATGAAATTTTATATGGTGTTGGTTTCGGTATGGGATTTCTTCAAAAAATCAATCCAGATTATCAATCACGTGGTATACATAATTATGAATATCGTGAAAGATCAGGCAATCTTGGTAAATTACCTAAAACAGGTAAGGTCTAAATGAAATTGTGGATTTTCAGCAAGCATTGGTTGATTGATCTTTTATTTACCCTCTCTCCCCGTGTCTCTCTCAGACTCTCTCTGTATTGTTAGCACTAATAGGATGTGACATATTGAGAGTTAATTGTACTTACTTACGCCTGTTAACCCCAATGGAGCATAGGCCACCCACCAATTTTCTCCAACCTACTCTGTCCTGAGCGCTTCCCTTACCAGTTCTGTCCAATGCTTGTTCATTCTTCTCATATCTTCCTCTATTTCTCGGCGTAATGTGTTGTTTGGTCTTCCTCTTTTCTTTTTGTCTTGAGAGTTCCATGTGAGGGCTTGTCTTGTGACGCAGTTAGGTGCTTTTCATAGTGTGTGTCCTGTCCACTTCCACCGATTCTTCCTGATTTCCCCCTCCATTGGAATCTGTCTGGTTTATTTTCTCCCACAGTAGGTTGTTGCTGATAGTGTCTGACCAGCGAATCTAAAGTATTTTGCGTAGACAACTGTCATTGGACATTGAAACAAAAATATCAAAATTGTCACAGTTTCATGTATTTTGTGATTTATACTGAACCAACAATAAGCATATTACATGAACAGTGATTTACAGAAGCGTTAGATTAAATAGTTAGTTTGTGTAGTGTCTGCGTTAAGTTAGAAGTTGGGCTCTGTATTACTTTAGTGGTCCATGATTTGACGTCAATATTTTTTACGGACGATTGAATGTGCTATGTGAAATAAATCAAACCCTTTAGTTTTCTTCTATTGTCGTACTTAGACGAATCCCGTCTGTCTTGACTACACTAATGAAAAGTTAAATACGAGTTCTGTTAGTTGAGTTTACTTCACAGATATTCATATGAGCAGACAGACATGAGAATGAAATGCATACAAGCAAAGAGAAGCGAAATGGTGAGGAGGCCGGCGAACCAAAACCCTCAAGCGATGAAGCATGACAAAGTAGTTGTTCAATGTCACAGAAAAATAAAGCCAGACACATACAATAAACGAAGTAGTAAGCAGTACACGCACAACCAAAATATAAGCGATCGATTAACAAGGTCAAATAACGAGTGAATAATAAGCCCTTGTGGACTCCACATCATCAAAGGTGACACATTCAACAAGTTGTTAGCTAATTATGTAGATTAGGGAAACATTATAACGGACAGTTATTGTATCAGTTATCTTGATGTGGATATTTTCATTAAATTACAAGTGTTAATAATAGAGATGGAGGTGTAATTCAGGCTGCGTGTGGTTTCCACTGATCAATTCAAATCTTAAATATATCACTGAGTTGATTCAAACAACTAATGTAAACAATTGAATCTTGAACTGAATTACTAAATCGCTAATCCGATGGTGTTTGAACTCAACTCTAGGACAAATTTCAAACACCCATATACCCAAATTCTAATACTCACCATTATTCATGTGTGCCAGTGAAAACAATCAACGGTATTCAATGGTCATTTAGGTTTTGTGACATATATTGAACAAAGTAAATATTTAAATTTTTATTTTGTTTTAGTTGGCTCTTGTTGAAATTGTTACTCTTCTATTTTTTTTTCAAATGTTACATCTAGGCGGTGATATATTTATTCATGCCAAATGTCATGAATATGGCAAATTGTTTGAATTAACACAAGCGATTATTAATAATTTACCACAAGGTTCAATAGCAAAATTTGAAGATATCTATGGATGGGTTTATCGTAGTGGACGAGATTTAAGTGGTTTTATTGATGGTAATTTATTCATAATGTGTACAATTTGTATTATTTTGTGTTGTGGATTCATGTTTATTGTTAATGAAAGGTGTCAAATGAGAAATCTGTTAGTACTAGACAACTGTTTCGTACCACCATACTGAGAGCTGGAATTTGAACTCAGGTCCCCTCGAGTTCGTGCACGAACTTTTGATCGCTAGATCACTGAGCTTGCATTTAGTGGTGTTCATGTCTAACTTTGATCAGTCCATGGTATTGTCCGACAACCAATAATTGACTGCAGTTCATAACTATCTCCTATCCAAAACAGACCGAAATTCACTAGTCACGATTTCTCAGCGGAACTCCAATGATTTACCTCTATGTCAGGTATTGTAGTGAAGGAGAACACAGGTGAGGACAACCAAATTGTGTTTTACGAAAATTACAGAGTTACTCAGTAAAATAGGAAAACCATATCGTAAACCGTTGTTAATTTGCAAATCTTCAATACATCATCAATCGATTGTCTGACATTTCACTATTCATGCGTTTCATACAAATTCTATTGTGTTCTCACTCTTCCTTTCTTGATCTTCCCCCATCCTCTTCTGCTGCCAGACATTACGTTTTTACTCGCGTCATATACTACTTATAAGTAGCGCGCACCACAGTATTATTTAACACAAGATTGTTATGAAGGAAGGGGTTATTTTGTGTTGATTGTAGTGTTCTCTTAGTTGAAATCATTATTGAAGAGTTCCATCCTAGGAGAAAAGTGACTGTTAAGTGCTTCCAGATCTTTAATATTAGTCTAGTTAAGATGAGGTTGTAATTTTGACTATGAACTAATCACCACAAACTCCTTTCATTAATGTCAAGTAAGATTTGATTTTATTTGTGATTGGAATGTCGGACCAAAGGTTCAGTGATTATCATGAGAAAATATAACAGTGAGTCTATTCAGTGTAAACGTTAGATTTCTACATTTATTCTGTTAATTTAACAAAAAAGACACCCGTGTAAGATAAGATATAAGTAGATTATCTCTTGGAAAAGTTGTCTATGTGTGGTATTTTCGCATTCTTAGTCATATCAAGGCATCCGGAGAGTTCTACTTAACACTACTACTATCCGCGAGACGATAGTAACCGATGGTTAGAGACCTTGAATGGCGCAGGTGCATCCACTCTTTGTGTTCTCTCAAATCCTAATCTTCTGGATTCATCAACACCTCTGTCTTTGTCTTTCTAAAGTTATCTCACTGAATCATACTTGTTAAATCATATGTTGGAACCCTAATCTTCGCAATTACCAGTAGTACTCCTGCTATCTCCACCTCTATGGGATTTGAATTGACAATTGTATCTCTCTGTGCTAATATGGTATAGCAACTAGAACTGCTGTACTTACGTACGAAGTTTTACGTTGTATCTAACTAACTAACTGACTGAGAAAAAGGAAAACGGTTGAACTACACGTCTTTAGTTTACTTACACAATGTACAATTAATTTTTTTCATGTGATCAATGTGTATTTCTGATTTAAGTGTTAACAATTTAAAAATAATTATTTAAATGACCTCAAATAATTTGACACAATTTTTAAAAGTTTTACCAATCTGTTACCCTGCTTTATTCTAAACTCGGGACCAGTTTTAACCCTAGAAAAGGTCACAGGTAGAGTTCATGCGTTAATAGTTTTGATATGACAAAACTGCTTGTCATTCTACTTTAATGAACAAAGATGTCAGTAGCAAATAGATCAGACGATTTATTTTCATTTCTTGAAACCATGAAACGATCAATGTTAGACCACCATTAGAAACCTGGAAGCACTGGACAGCCGTTTCGTCCTGGTATGGGACTCATCAGAGGCAGTGCGCATCCACTTTACCGAAGGTCCTGGGTTTGAATCCTGCGAGCTGTAGGAGTCGTGGATGCGCACTGCTGAGCAGTCCCATACCAGGACGAAACGGCCGTCCAGTGCTTCCAGGTTTCTAATGGTGGTCTAACATTGATCGATTCATGGTTTCAAAAAATGTGTAACTTAACAACAATCTTCACAACCCCGTAATGCAGATTTATTTCCAGTAAGAAAATGTGTTTACTCCTTATCTTCTAACTTTCATTTGCAAAATAAGCCGATTATTATCTATCTTCTGCAACATATACACTACCTACTACTTATAAGCCATTTTGTGAGTAGTATACATCACACAATTCGGTTTTGCCAAATCTCAAGATCAATTCAACGTGTTTTGAACATTCATACAACATTATTACTAGATATCAATTATAATAACAGGGAAATTCACATAATAGTTTATTAATTACAAGATAAAACTTCCATCCAACATGGTGTGGATAGTATTACTTATTGTCTTATAAATTATGTAGATCAATGAGTTGAGTAAATCAATCAGTCAGTAAGTCAGTCAGTGAGGTGCAACGTAGAACTTTGTTCGTAAGTACATCAGTTCATGTCGCCATACCACATTAGCACACAGAGATGTAATTGTCAATTCAAATCCAATAGTAGTAGAAGAGATAGTTAAGGTATTAGAAGTAATCGGAGATGTTAGGATCAGAAGATATTATTCAAGAAGAATGATTCAGTGAGAAAAGTTTAGAAAGTCAAAACAAGAGGAGTTGAAGTATCCAGAAGATTAGGATTTGAGAGAATACAATGAATAAATGCACCGACCGTAGTTTCTACCTTGACGTGGTGGTCGGTCTTGTCTATCGTGATGACTTGACCGAGCTATACTGGCTGGAACATATGTTCCTGCAGGTCCTACCATGCCAGGCTGGTTGACTGGAGAACGATGAGACTAAAAGCAGCTACCCCAGGTCTGAGGACGAAGTCGTACTGATGACTGCAGAGGCGTGTGACAATAGTAAGGTGTTTCCCTCGGACAACAAGCAGCATCTGCAGCGATGCTGCCTTCTCACAAGGAAGGAAATGTTAGAAAAGGTCGTCCCTAAAAATGTCACACCTCACTCTACCTCACGGATTTCCGTCTCCTTGGGTAAGGGTGCCCACTAAGGGCCTTTAAGAGCGGAGCTAATCCTCAAAAAAACCTTTCATAAAAAGGCCGTGCGTGACCGGCCTCAAGCAGTTGTCCCTTGGACTCTGCGGTCATGCTCCCAGGTCTCCAAGACCAACACTAATCTATCTTCCTTTTCGGGTACCTCAAGAAAACAACCTTCCACGGTGTGGGCAGCCGGGAAGTGACAACAGCCCTCATAACCGTAACACCACGAAATCAATCATTCACTTATCATTATCCCTTCTTAACCGAATCTAAACATCTTTCCGATGTTTCCTGTTTCCTGTTTTTTTTAATCAGGCACAGAGAATCCAGCGGATCCAGACGAACGTGCTGAAGTGGCAATCAATCCGAAAACTGGTGGAAGTTATGCTGTTGTTCAAAAATGGATACACAATATGAATGTGATTCAATCAACCAATGGTAAGAATAACTGTTGAATCTAAATGCAAAAAATTTAATTTGTAAATTACTTACTTACTTATTTACTCCTGTTACCCCCAATGGAGCATAGGCCGTCCACCAGTTTTTTCCAACCAGCTCTGTCCTTGGCTTCCCTTTCCAGTTCTGTCCAATGTTTGTTCATTCCTCTCATATCTTTCTCTATTTCTCGGCGTAATGTGTTCCTTGGCCTACCTCTTTTCCTTTTGCCTTGAGGGTTCCATGTGAGGGCCTGTCTCGTGACGCAGTTACGTGCTTTCCGCAATATGTGTCCTTCTCTTGCATTTGTTGTTGCGTGTACGATAGAAGAGGCAGGTCATCTGTGAAGTTCAGATTGTCAAGCTGCGTCCTAACTGTCCCGTTGATAACGTGCTTCCCTCCAGCTGTTGACGTTTTCATAATCCAGTCGATCACCAGGAGAAAGAGAAAGGGTGAAAGTAAGCAACCTTGCCTGACACCGGCCTTCACCTTGAAAGAGTCTGTTAGTTGTCCTTCGTGTACGATTTTGCAGTTGAATCCATCATAAGAATTCCGTATGATTTTAACTATTTTCTCAGGCACACCGTAGTGTCGAAGAAGCCTCCACAGTGTTTTCCTATCCACGCTATCAAATGCTTTCTCGTAGTCGATGAAGTTGATGTAGAGTGGTGAGTTCCATTCAATTGATTGTTCCACAATGATCCGTAATGTAGCAATTTGGTCAGTACACGATCGATCCTTACGAAATCCGGCCTGTTGATCTCGAAGTTGGGCGTCTACAAAGTCCTAGTAAAATTACATAGTGAATAAAATTTCCAAACCTGATAAACAGATGGCATCTGGTTATATTCGAGACTTGTCAATTGGATGTAGACTTGTGTCGCACCACAGAGATGATATTCACTATGAGACTCCAACGCTTAATTGAGTTTAAATAGTGGAGTTTTGAACCATCATTAGGAAGATACAAACCACCAGTACAATTGAATTTTTTTATTTATAGTATTAACGAGATCGTTGTTTTACATTGAGGTTGCATAAAAATCCTTAGATTGATCAGAGTTAGGAATTAGCACTGTTGAATGTCGGTCAGCTTAGTGGTCTATAATTTAAGCGTCCGAGAGTTAGTTTGAAAGGCACTGGGTTCAATTTCCACTTTCAGGGATGATGGATGCTCACTGATGACGATGATGATGAATCCTACAGTTTGAACGACATGAGTCAGAATCGGTTGCAATGGCGCAAGTGCATTCATTCATTGTGTTCTCTCATATTCCAACCTACTCTATATTTCTCTCTCTAAAATTATCTCACTGAATTATATTCCTCGAATCATATCTTCTTCGAAGGCAGCGATGCTGACTTCTCACAAGGAAGGAAGGGTTAGAAACGTTCGACACTGAAAATGTCACACCTCACCCTAACTCACGGATTTCCGTCTCCGTTGGTAAGGGTGCCCTCTAAGGGCCTTTAAGAGCGGAGCTAATACTCAAACAACCTTTCTTTAAAAGGCCGTGCGTGACCGGCCTCAAGCAGTTGTCCCTTGGACTCTGCGTTAACGCTCCCATGTCTCCAAGACCAACACTAATCTGTCTTCGTTTACAGGTCCCTCAAGAAATAACCTTCGACGGTGTGGGCAGCCGGGAAGTGACAACCGCCCTCATACCCGTAACAGCACACGAGATCAAATTGGTCGAAATCATATCCTTACTACACTCCCTAACACCTCTCTTCTATCCACTATCGGATTTGAACTGACAAATGCGTTTCTATGTTGATGAGGTACGGCAACCTGAACTCATGTACTCATGTATGGAGTTCTACGTTGTAACTGACTGACTGAATCCTATAGTAGGATGAGATGGCTATCCGATGCTTTGAAGTTTTCATCGCTAATCTAACATTGATCAATGGGTGATTTGAGTTTATAAGTTATGGCAAAGTCATCATTTTTAACTGAATCGTTATTTTTTTTAATTGTATTGCGGTTTTTGTTTTACGTAATCGATTGCGTAATTCGATTTCACTCATAAGTGATAATTACTCACTGAATTGTTAAATAATTACAAATTATTGAAATCTCCACTCACTATTACGCAATCGATCTTATGAGTTGGCTGAGTTTTGATCAATACAGCCTTATTATTTCCTTTTGTGTTTTCTGTATGTCTACCTCAGAACAGTTTTTGCGCAAGCTGTAACGATTCTGATTGGCTTTTGCCAACTTGCTTCACCTATGGCGCAGATGAGATATCCGTTTGCTAACCAAAGGACGAGTCAATTGCGCAGTAGCTTGCTCCGTTCTACTATATGTATGCGATACATGACCCGAAAGAGTAGAAGACATCCGTAGGTTATTAGTGTTCGATTATAGATGTCTCCGAAGTATTGCTCGTATATACTGGGACAACCGCGTGAGCAGTGCTGTTGTTAAGAAACGCATGCAAGGTGTAGGAAAGGCAGATCAGTTGCTGGAGTAGTGAAACTTCATCATTTGAGGTAGTTGGGACACGTGTTACGTATGACCAACCACCGTCTGCCTCGACGAGCGATGCTCTGTGGTTTAGAATAGAAGATGTTCGTAGGTTACTAGTATTCGATCATAGATGTTTAAGAAACATTCCTCGTATATCGTGGGACAACCGAGTAAGCAATGCTGTCGTTAGGAAACGAGT